ATAGGAGAGAACCTTCTTGGTCTGGAATAAACAGGAGAGGTGCTCGCGATCCATCTGCCTCCCCCCTTGATAAAAACCAAAAACAGCGGCCTCACATGGGCGAGCAATCTCAGGTCTTGGGCAGGTGTTCGACCCATCTGCAGGCCTCCTCCGGATCAGTGAAGAAACGAGCTGCCTCCCCATCCTGCACCCGCAAGCGCGCCGGGAAAAGCATGCTGTATCTGATCCCCTTGGCTCTTAGGGCAGCCTCAGCAGAATCAAAGGATTTACGTTGCCTCTGGGTCTCCACTGAATAATCCGGAAAAATAAGTAGCTTGCTGTTCTCGTACTTTAGCTCTCCCATCACTCTCGCCTCTCTCAGGATAGCATCCCGGTCTCTAAAATTCAGGAGTTTGAAGATAAAAGTGCGCGGGGGGGCTCCCGGGGGGCCACGGATAGAGGGCATGCGATGGGCCCGCTCGACTGCAAAGAAGGCTGTAAGCTGTGCCTTAGGGAGCAGGGACTCAGCGAAGGTGAGTGGATATTGGCCCTCCATTCCCTCCGGCAGACCCAGTACCCGGAGATTACTGCGCCGGTTCCGGTTTTCTGCATCCACTGCCCGGGACTCCAGTGCCTTAACTTTAGTCTGGAGGATGCGCAGTGTCGCTGTGTGGGCCCCGATGACATCCTCCACCTCACCCACTCTACCTTCCACCGCCGCCATCCGGTCCCGAAAGCCATCCAAGTCTCTACGGAGCAGCCCGACATCAGACTGCAGATGGTCAATCTTGGCCGTCAGCGCACTCTGACACCCCGAGATCGCCGCCATCACCGCGGTGAACTGGGCAGGCCCCGACAAGGCCTCCTCTGGAGCTTCCGGCTGGGCCGCCATTCTGGCGCGTGGCTGTTTCAGTCCGCGGGCCGGCGGGGACTTAGGAGTAGTGGGGCGGCTCGTAGATGACCTCCGGCGCCCCCGAGACATACCCCCAGGATCAGGGCTTGGTCTGGGCTCAATCCCCCGTCCACTCGAGCGCTCCACGGGGCAGGAAATAATCAGGATAGTAGGATAGGTGGCAGAGCACAGTTACTACACGTGTGCTCCGGTCGCCATCTTGGACACGCCCCTCATAGTTCTTTTAATTGTCAACCTTATATCTTTATTTTCTTTGAATTTTTCCCTATTCTAATTAGATGTAAAAGTAGGGCATGTCAACCATTCTACTGAAATATTCTCCATGTTGCTTCTCAATTGAGTGTTGTCCCTCTGGGAATTGACAGAACTTGCGCCCATATGCGTCTTTATGCATTTCTAAAGTGTTTCAGCTTTGCACAATATAAAACTTGTTCAAAATGAATAGTCTGTCTGCATTTATTTCATTCTTTAACATGTTCAGGACCAAGAAATTAAAACTCTTATTCTTTTTTTTTTTTTTTTTGTTGCTGAGACATTTCTGACATATTGCATATGAGTAGGTAATTAAGTTTCCAGCACTAGGCTCCATTTTATATGCTTACAATGTATTATCCTTACGTGCTTCTATGAAGGATAAAACTGCTTACAGAGCCCAATAACTCAAGCTTAAGTTTATACACACAAACTCGCACACTTTGATGATCAGAAAAAAGACGCCGCCATTGGCTCTATGCCTTTCTCTATCCAAATAAATACATTGTCTGGACATTTGAAGTAAACCTTTACTGCACTATTTGAAATCAAGCCCTGCCAACCATACTGTGACGGTCCCTTGTTGGTCAGCAAGGCACTCTCTCTGGACTGGGATACTGGTGAGATTTATGTTCTAAGCCAACAATTGAAAGTAAATAATTGGATAGTGAAAATAATCTTTTGTGCAGAGTTGGGTTTATTGGATGAGAGATGGAAGAAAACATTTTGGGGGGAGTTTATCAAAACTGGAGCAGACAATATCTGGAGCAGCTGTGCACTGCAACCACTCAGCTTCACTCTTCAGTTTGTTCAGTTAAGATTTGAAAATGAGAGAGAGAAGCTGATTGGTTGCCATGCACATCTGCTCCAGTTTTAGTCTGCTCCAGTTTTGATAAATTCCCATCGTTGTTAAATGGTAAGTTCACTTTCGCAAATGAATTTGATGAAATGGAATTACACGCTCAAATCCTTTGCTTGATAGTGTCCCTCCTTTACTCCCTCTGAAGAAGTGGTGGATGTAGAGTCATGAAACGTGCTTAAACGGTGTGCTATTTTTTTTCTTTCAGAGAGATATCCAAACTGACGAAACGTAGCTCTAATTTTTAATATAATTGGGCGCCTCCTAATGTCTCAATTCCACGATTTTTTTGGACTTTCTTCCTCCTCCTCCCATCCTAGAAATAAAGTAGCTTGGGTGTATGTAGAAGATGGTGTGCAAATTTGGCTAGAAGTTACACAAAAATAACATTTTTTGATAGCGTAGCAGTGTCATTACTGTGCCCCAGGTCACCTGACTCTAAAACAATTCAGTGCACACTAATGGTTGCTGTTTAGCACATGCTGTATAGACATATTGGCTGTTCTTTGCACTGATTCATTAATAAGCTCTATGGTGTTTTCCATGAGGGATAATGTTGGCTTGTGCTCTTATATTTAGGGAAAAAAGTGTGTCCTCCTCCAAACAACCTTTTTTTTTTCTAAAGATATCTCCCCCTGTTCCCTGCATCCTGAGCACGAGGAGCATGCTGCATTCAGCTGGGTGCCACCAGCTCACAAAAGAACAGAGGATTGATGCAGAGAAGAGTAACACCGTACACAATGCGAGCCGCGGATAACTCATTTGTCTGTTATAGAGGCTAAAATTTAGAAATGTTCCTCTTCCACGGTGGCATTCTCCTTGACTTTGTACTTGTCTAGTTATAAAGCGCTGCCTGGGGTGAGATGCTAGAACATTTTACACTTCCAAATTTCAGACTTTCAAAGACTTGAGACCACATATCAAGGGTCATTTGAGGAGATTGAGTGAGAATGCGGTCGTCATTTATTGCCAGGGATAAAGAAAAAATATCATGCAAATGCTTTAACCCTTTCGCTGCCAAATCGGTCTTTGCCTTTTTGCACAAGTGTTAAAATGCACATCTTAGGCCTGAAGATTACTTAAAACTCCACAGAATCATTGAGACCCTGTAGGTGGCAGTTGCAATTTGTCACATGATATTTACTCAACTGTTTTATCAAATTCAATTTTTCAGTAAAAAAAATTTGATTTTAGGGCACATAAACACAATGGGGGGAATTTATCAAAACTGGAGCAGACAAAATCTGGAGTAGATTTGCACTACAGCCAATCAGCTTCTATCTCTCATTTTCAAAATCTCTACTGAGCAAACTGAAGAGAGATGCTGATTGGTTGCCATGGGCAACTGCTCCAGTTTTGATAAATTCCCACCAATGTATTGCCCGGTTTTTGCAAAATATAAAAGGATGTGCCGACTAAATAGATTCATAATTGCATGCGCCTGTAAAATGGTAAAAAACGACAGTACTTAATATTGTCTGTAGGCGACGCTTTACAAGGTTTTACAGGTAATTTTAGAGTTCAATATGAATAGTGTGCAACATGAACAGCGAGTACAGCGATACCTAACCCCTTCGTGTCACAACTTCAGAAAATATTTTTTTTCCATTCCCATCTTCCTCATTCATTGCACCTTCACATATTATTATTATTCAGTTTTGTAAAGGACAAAATGGGCTTTAATTTGATGTGGCATATGCAAATATAAATTCTTCTTTTTATTATAAAAAATAAATTTTTCACAGTTTTGGCAATAGTATTATGTACATGATTAGTGTAGCTAACAAAGTAATTCATAATAAATTTATTTTATTTGTCCTGATTTGTAAGGTATATCATATGTCTGGGATTTTAATTTTTTGGGGAGTTATAGATCACAAAATAGAGTGAAATACAATTTCAATGTTTTTCTCCTATCTTTAATAGCCTCCTTAGCACTATATTTTCTTATAATTTTTTTTATTAAATGTATTTTTTTTTTATTTAAAAAAAGTTTATTTTTTATTTTAAAATGCTGTTATTTTTTTAAAACTAGGGCCACTAAGGGGTTATTTTTCTTTTATTTGCATGGTCTTTGATAGTTTCGTATCTCTGAGTAGAATATCGTATTCTCCTCAGAGATACTTTGCATCAGTTTGTAACACACAGGTATTTTCACTTTATTGCATAGGGGTCTCCAGGAATCCTTGGGTAGCAGGTGTGTTTTTCGGTTTGTTTTTTCTTATTATTTTTTTTAAATAAAGGAATACTAATTCAATGTGCATACAAGGATGACCATTGTAATCACCCTTGGTAGTGTTGAAGGTTGTCGCAACCCGTTACTTGAGCTATACCACTTGGCCTGAATGTAAATGTGGAAAGAAAGTTGAAGGCATGTGGGGGGAAACAAAGAAATCTTATACTTGCTTAACTAGCGTTAATTTTGAAGAGGAATTCCAGGGACTAATATCGTTTCAACCAAGAAAGAAAAAAGACTTCCTGTTCTATTTTTGGCTTTTAGCTTGGCTTCATCCAGTCCCTTTTTGGCAGCCTATCATGCTATATAACCTAATTTACCTTGCGATACAAGTGTGAACGACCATATTAGATGATTTTCATGTCTTCTGTGTTTCCACCTTCCATATCTCTGGGAAAAAAGCAATATTCTCAGATAAATTAATCCAGACATAATACAAGATACTTCTGTCATTAGGGAATGTGGCAGTTCACCTGCTTGCTTTTTATGTTTCCTCCTTTCAAGAAAGCAATTATTTTACAATAAATGGTTCCCCCCGACAGATCCAGCTCCGTGATGTTTTTCCGCTCTTAAGTGAAGGTGTTGTTGTCAGGTGTTTGGATCTGTCCCATGCTGAAAGGGCCCGCGGTACGCTGAATGAAGCAGGTGTCGAGTCAACAGGCCTTAGACATTATACTGCAGAGCATTTTTCTGAGCGATTTCAAAGCATAATTTTCTGTTTATTTTCTTTTCTTTTTTACATTTTTGTTTTCTTTTTGCAGCTGTATAAGTTGGAGCAGTTACCACAAAAACCTCCTGGCCAGCAGCGATTATGAAGGGACCGTGATTCTGTGGGATGGCTTTACAGGGCAGAGATCAAAAGTTTACCAGGTAACGCTAAACACCTTTGTTTTGAATAGCAGGAGCCAGTCTTTTATTTATGGTGTGTCTTTGGACTGTGAGCAATAAACTGCAGGATGTCTACAACACTTAACCATATGACATTGTAATGCCACCACAATTCAGTATTTAAAAGTCTGGGATGCAATTTTTTTTTTTTACTGGAATGTTTTTATCTGTATTTTGTTAGAAAACAGATACAAAGCTGCTCGTTAACAGTTACTAGTTCTGCTTTGTTATTTAACTGCAACATTTGATTGTCTGGAGCACAAGGATAGAATTTTCTTGTTGTCCATGCCCTCCATAACCCTGAAGATATAAAATTGCCGATAGACAATAAATTACAGCACAATGGCTGGATTTGGTAACGGTAATGTGTTGGAGCTGTCCACATGCCCCTCAGTTGGGGATTCTCAGAGGGAAAAACAATTACACAAGTAAAGTTTGATCTTTTGTTTTTTACTCTTGATAAGCTAGAAATATGCTCTGGGTGCTTCCTCCCTGTAGGCCTAGCCGATATGTCCAACCAAAGGTACTGTTCTAGTTTATGGACCTAGCTACAAACAAAATGGCAGAGTATGGTTTGATTGTATTGCTGTCATCACTACAGACCAGGATCTCAGCAGAAACTGTGTTGTTGTCTCAATAGCTTGGCATTCTCTGAGTGCTGAATTCATTCAGACTCCTAAAATGGGCAGAACCCAGATCTTTTCACAAAAAAGTAACACATTTTACTTCTTGCCAGATTACCTTGGAAACCTGGTTAGGTAATTTTTTATTAAATGTAATAAAATGTTTAATCCGAGGTCTGCTAGAAGTAAGAAAGCAGTTATATGTTCTGGCTAATATGGTATTAAGAAAAATGGTAATTTAGGTAACCGGTATATTCAACCCATGAATGTAATCACCAAAATTGTTGTTACCACACCCTTATCACATCATATATGATAAAATAGAAACACCAAAATTGGGCTTTAGAGGTACCGGACACCGCTCACATACAGTTATAAAATAATTGTGTAGGAGTGGTGTCTGATACCTCTAAAGCCCCATTTTGGTATTTTGTATTTTATCATTTATAAAAATGGTAACTGGTCATTCATGTCAAATTATCTGAAGCTTTAGTATACACTAGTTTTACAGATAACCAGCAGAGCTGTCAGTCATCAAACAATAGAATTTGGTGTTTCTAAGCCTGTGTACCAGATGTGTCCACTAAATTGCTGGAACAGAATGCAATGTTGTCCCCGCACTTTGAGACATATGTTTGCTTGTAGTTTGTTTAGTGAATTTGAATGAATCTCTGACAATTTAGATTAAAAAGTGTAACTTACATGCACAATTCATAACAAGCATATAATAAAAAGGCATATAAGCAGAAGTTACTTTTAGTAGAACCCAGAGATGTGGACTTTTGCTTATGTTGTTTTTTGTCGGACAATGGGTGATTATTCTCCAGTCCTAACTGTGCTGGGATAGATATATTAAAATAAAATAGCTGTGCCCTTATCCGTGGTGTTTATACATGCATACCTGGTCATGATTAATTTTATGAATTGAGGCCTTGCTGTGTACCAGTTTTACTTTAAAAGACATTGGGGTGAATTTATAAAAACTGGAGCAGTTGCCCATGGCAACCAATTATCATCTCTCCAGTTTGCCAAGTTGAGATTTGAGACTGAGCGAATCTGGTTGCAGTGCAAATCTGCTCCAGATTTTGTCTGCTCCAGTTTTGATAGTGAAGTCCCCCAATTGTGCTTGAATCATATTCTACTATTGGAAAATTTTTAATCTATATGGTATTCTGCCTATTCTATTAATTCTCATTTTGTATCACAAACAGGAACATGAAAAAAGGTGTTGGAGTGTGGACTTTAACCTCATGGACCCCAAACTTTTGGCGTCCGGCTCAGATGATGCCAAAGGTTCGTTTTTTTTTCTAACTAAACTAATGACGTTATTACAAGTCTCCAGAGCTGACTAGTTTTCATGATCTGGGTATTATTTTGTACTAAATTTGTAATGATGTTCTCCTCCTCCTCATGTGACAGTGTTTAGGCCTGGTGATTGGTCACTCAGGCAGCAGTCCTGGGAGAATTGGGGAGAGGTTCACATGTATCCCCTTATCCAGAAATCCTGGACATTTCTCAGCAGATAAACTAAGTGGAAGTTAGCACAGCAAATGTGTGAGGATACGTGGAGCGGTTTGCAAATATGACATCATGACAAGAGCTGCTGCCATTTCCCCCCACACCACCCTTACAGTAACAGCCTTGTAACAGCTGTCCCGTATGCTTGCACAATTGAGCAGGATGGGCACAAGTTTCCAACATCTATTCTTCTAGAAACATGGGGACCCCTCTGGAATGATAAAACCGTGCAGGTTACAAAATGATGATTTAGCTGAGCCTTTTATTTTAGTGCATTTTAGCTTCGTAAAATGTGCAGGGTCAACTTATTTAATTAGTACTAGGTGCATGTTTTTTATGCCTGGTGATTTGAAGGCTTGAGGTGATCTTAGGTTAATTTTATTGAAATATGCGGTTTAATCAGCCTCTTCCCTGACATTATCAGGAGTTTGGTCATCAAAAGGATCCAATGTAGCAAAGATATATTCCTGTAATAGATAGCTAGAACAACGTCTAATTTGTCCTGGATCAAGATCTGCCAATTCATAGTAACAGTAAAGTCTTAAAATTTCAAATATGTTGGCAGTGATGTATATGTATGTATGCAAAAGCTACTTTTATTGAAGGCACATGTCACTTTGGTCAGTAGATCTAAAGATAAAAGCAGCTGTACTTACTTATTCAGCGCCTAGAAAATCTTTTTCCATGGATGGACCAGTAGTCTCTGGCTTTTCCACGCAGGTCACTGGTGAAATGAAGTCTACAGTTAAAGTAGAATTAAACCTTCAATGTTTTTTGCCTACATCTACTGCTAGCAAGCAGTTAATGTATGCCAAAACATTGAAAAATTTTACCAAATGGGTAACAACCTGTGTCTCCACTGCTCGCTTACGTCCGAAGATCTGAAGCCTCTTGAGTGGCCGTTAAGGATCATGGGGCGGGCACATTCGCACTGTGGAGATCTTGGGCGGGGAGAAGCAGGGAGACACGGGGTAAGTCAATGCAGGCAGCCAGCAGCGTGCACACGGACAGACACTGTGGGGCCCGAGGAGTCAGCGCTGGATCAGAGACCGACACCAGCTCTGGAGGGACTCCTGAGGCATCTCCTGTGATCTTCAGGTCTCGTCTATAGTCCAGTGTATTGTGCCATTTAATAGATGCATAACAGTTAGAAGTAGAAACGGCTGTATGTTCTGCCAGAGAGATTTCTTTTTTCCGTGGTACTTTTATGCTCAATCTTTGCCTGTCCTGAAAAGCTGTTTCTTTTAATTGCATCTGTCAAACCTTTCATGAAACAAAATGCCTTTTGTCTACAGGTTTAAATAATAAATAGTTTCTGTTTGCTGAGCTTGCGACTTTTGACCCACTGTGTCTGCTGGACTTCATTTTTCGACCCAGGGTTGTATTTGCATGTGGAGTGAAAAGTCATTACAGCCAGTAGTGCATATTACAGCTGTTACATTTCTAGTGGAGAGACATCTCGCCTGCTAGCATCTGCCATCCAGCCTTGTCTGGCTAATCGGTTTTGATTGGTGAGACACAACTGTATTGGTCGCAATTACATCTCCATGGCAGCCTTTCCTCTTAGATCAACATCAGCTTCTTCTGCCCGACAGAACTGTTCTCTGGGTCTGGTTGACATGTTTCATGAAGTGTTTTGGAAAGAGCTAGTGAGTGCCTTGTGAAATGACAAAAGGCCACAAGCAGGGTAACTAATAAAAAGGTTTTAGTTTAAGCTATATGAAATAGCCTTTGCCATCCAGCAATTTTGATTGATCTTATCCTGAAAGCCTGCTCTAGTTACTGCTGCTTGTTTTTGCAGAGCTTAGGCTGTATTCTGCCTGTCCCAGTTGTTTTTACTTATTATTATTACTATTATTGATGCACCGTTACTAGTATCGGTGCCGATGCTGAGTATTTGGGCGACTACGAGTACTCGCCCAATTGCTCCGATGCCTAGCCCGTTAGTTCCTGTATCAGGAAGCCAGGCAGCGCGTCATTACACCCTGCCTGGCTTCCTGATTGGCCGGGAAGCCGGCTCCATGCTCCCTTGTCCCTTGTGACGAGAGAGCATAGCGTCGGCTTCCCGGCCAATCAGGAAGCTAGGCAGCGTTTAGTGACTTGCTGCCCGGCTTCCTGATTGGCCAACTTCCCGACCAATCAGGAAGCCGGGTATCGTGTAATGGCCGGGAAGCTGGCTCCATGCTCCCTCGTCACATAGTGATGAGAAGCATGGGGACGGCTTCCCTGCTAATCGCGAAGACGGGTGGCGAATCTTTACACTCCTGAATGGGACTTCCGGTACTCCTGTATTTGGTATCGGCGAGTACCGAAAAAATGCCAGTACTCAATACCGAAATACCGGTATCGGTGCATCCCTAATTACTACAGGTATTTGTATAGCACCAACAGTTTACGCAGCGTTTTATATAGTAGCACAACCTAATTTCCAAAACCTGGTATAAGGTTTAACGTAACTGTTATAATTTCAAAAGTCTTTCATTACTATTTAACTTCTTTCACTGAAAGCATTTTTCTTTCTGCCGTGACGGTCCTTGTTTAAGTACTTCCTGTTCTAGGTTGACAACACTTTGACCTTGTCTATGGATTGTGTTTCTGCTTTATCTTGTCACAGGGACACTGCAATTGACTATTTTGACACACATTAGACAGTCATGGACCACTGTTACCACTAAAAACCCATCTTGACAAATACCTTACAGCCATCGTTGGGGGTGCATGTAGGCAGAAAGGGGTTGCCAAAAGGCTGCAGGAGTTTAGCAGCACTGAGATGCAACAAAGGCTGAAAAAAAGGTGAACAGTAAAAAAAAGAAAGTTTGACACTCCCCCCCCTCTGGGAAACCAAGTGGTATTCGGTTAGGGTTTGGATCTACATTTTAGGGGTTAAATGTTGAAATTGCAATAAAAGTATTTTGCTGTAATGTACCCCAGCCATAATGAAGAGTGAAACCAAAGTAATTAAAGTGTCAGCCCTTAAAAAACTGAAATGTCATTTTTGGCTAGATGTAGACAGTTTCCTTTATTTGTTATAATTATAGGACTAATGTAATGATATTTATTTGCATATCAAAATTGCAAACATTCTGTTTTGTGTTGATTGTAGCTTTCAATATTGGTGTCTCATCAATCAATACCACTGTGATTATACTTGTGTTACAATTACTATGTGTCAGGCCAAAATGAGGGGTAAGAAAAAACAACTTCTGCAGTACTTTGCTGCAATACATGCACATTGCCCCATGTTTTGTCCCTTTTAAAGCTCCTGCAAATACATGGATGCCAGAAATCCACTTGGCTCCTAAGGCCTGTTGTGGGCTGACAACACGCTGCATTTTTGTGGACTGTGTGGTTTCAGCCATACTCTCCCATCATCACAACGTAAAGGCTAATCATTTTGTAGTCTCAAGATAAGAACTTACTACTATTCTTGAGGTAATGCAAGAAATGTACACAGGACCATTTAAATCTCTAAAATGATCAATGTTTTTTTTTTGCACTTATTTAAAAAAAAACCCATTTATACACTTTTAAAAATAAAGTGGATATATGGGGTTTTGTATGTGCCAACAAAACCACCTACGCACTTACAAAACCCCATATACCCACTTTTTTTTTTACTTGATCTAATAGGGGTGTAGTGCCAATCACTCAAGGGTCTTTCACTAAATTTTCTTAGAAATTTAACAAACCTCCTTTTACTTGTAAATTCATTTGCCCAAGGGAAATGAAATTGACCTGATATGAAATCATCTTGCATTCATTAGTTAAACATATTTATTGTTTTACCACATCCTGGTCCTCTTGCACATTAATGATGTATTGTGTCCAAGCGTTGCATCCTGGGAAGGTTACATCAGCAGAACATTGCTGGGAAATCTCATCTGTAATTTCACAAGGTCTCAGGGAAAGGCATTTTCCTCCCCTGAGATGATGTGTGTGGTCACATGTCCTAGTCACATGATTTCCAGGAAGTAAAGGGAGATATATTAATCTGCCCTTAGTAAGAATTGGGAGTAAAAGAAAAATAAGGTATTCAAAGATAAAAAATCCGACAATTATCTAGAAGTATGTGTTTATGGATTTGTCTACTAAACATTTCTAAAGGTTTATTTGTTGTCATTTTCAAAGCTATAAGTAAAGTTCCTTTTAAAGCGTTATTAAACCCTTGCTTGTTTTTGCATATATCTACTGCTGGCATACAGTAGATATATGCAAAACGATAAAAAAACAAAAATAACCTTTTCAAAGGGTTAATACTTACCTGTGTCTTCGCCGCACGCTTCCTTCCGAACATCTGAAAATTTCTCAGGCAGCCGCAAAGGATCTTGGGGCGGGCGCATGCGCAATTCAGATGTTCAGCCGGGAGATGAGGAGAGACACAAGGTAAGTCTATGGAGCAGCGTGCACCCGCACAGACTCTGTGGGATATGAGAGAAGAGGAGGGCAGAGGCGTAGGCTCTGGATGGAGACCTGCACCAGCGCTGGAGGGGCAGCTGAAAAGGACAGTAAGGGAGAAGATGATTGGATTCAGAGGCATCATGTAAGGTAAGTCCTTGCAGCAGGATTGGGAAAGGGGGGAAAAAAAGTTTGACTTTAATGTCACTTTAGGACGATTTTAGGAAGTTCCATGCTGTCCTGAAAAGCATGGGCTTTAACCCCATTAAACCTGTACAATGGAGGGGGGGGGGGGGGGGA